TTTATTGTTATACCGCCAGCTTACTGCAAAAAGATGATAACTCCATTTTTCTACCTTTCGAGTTGTGTACATTTTCATACTTGCATGTAGTTAGTACTTAGGGTGTTCTGTGAAATAAGGATGAATAAATGTAGTGCAGTATTAACGTCATGAGCAAGTTAATCCTCTTCCACAGAACGTAGGTACTAACATATAGGTAATGTAGAAAAATCTTGTTTTTACAGTAAAGTGACGATACACGCTCTATTGTGGAGCTAAAAAGCCGTTTAAGCTATAGCCTGTGAGATAGGAATTACAAGGTTGAAATCTTTTATTTAAATCCGCCATTTTGTTTTGTATAAAATTTTAATGTAGATTGTGTCACTCGCACGGCTAAGACTTTATGTGTGAAAATCCGTGCAGCCGTTTGGCCTGTAGGTGAAAATATGCACGTTATCCACATCACTCTCCGCGTGACGACATGCGCGCCGGCGGACGAAAATCGAACAGCGAAGCATCCGGCACTGGGTGCTACCTCTCACAGCTGAACGTCGGCGTAACCATTTGCTCTGGTGTAGCGAAAGAATTCTATGGGACCAGGAGTAGAATCAGGTGGTCTTCAGTGACGAATTCCGCTTCTGACTGGAGATGCACGATGGTCGGGCAAGGGCGAGACGGCGGCGGGTGAAAGACGTGACCCACAATTTGACAGAGAGCGTCACGTTCACCGCACCGTGGGAGTTATGGTATGGGGTGCTATTGCTTATGGTACTAATTTCCATCAGGTGCAATGGTGGACATGGAACGGCCATTATAACAAATAAACAGTTAATATATGTATATAGTCCTTTATTTACTAGAAATAACGAGACAACCAAATCATTAAGTAACACTTTGTTTCATTTTATATATCATAAAAAACATTTTTATTATTGTAGTATTAATCATTATTTAGTGACCTCAAATTTTATTGAACCCTTCCGAACGGCCTTGCAAGGATCAAGGCTCCATATAAGGCCGATATAATGTGTCGGTCGTTTGAAAACTCACATTGAGAAAAATATCTGCTTATATTCCTTTAAACTTCTTAAAAAGTCCTTACATTAAAATTAAACATCAACAAAAATATATTCTCATAAAGAAAAACTCAGTGAACGTTGCTTGTACACTATCGTAAGACTAGGTATGTATTCGTGAGAATGTTTGACAGAATAATTTGAATGAGTATTATGTACATATCAAAACCGTTGCCAATAACCTTTATAATGGAATAAAAAAACTAAACTGACTAAAATGGGCTTCCATTCTATTCCTTGTACGGTCAACATGTTTCTGATGTCGTTAGAAACCTACAACTCAGTAAATATTAACTTGACCTGACTTTCCCCAATTTTTTTTACAGGGCTTTACTTATTACGAAGGTAACTAAAATGGAAGTCAATTAATAATATTTTTCTTTAGAACCATAGCAAATATTTATTTATCAATTGGAGATAACTAACGTTTCATGAGAGCTCGGAATGTAATTTTAACGTCGGCGATCGATGTTAACAAAGCGAGGGACTGCATAGACAAAAAACAACGCGAGTGACTCGTCGCCGAGTCTATTTCAATAGGTATCAATGTGAGAAAAAGTCAATATCTACGACTTTTTAATAACTGGCCTTATAATGAGTATGACCTTCCATAGTCCACCCACCCACGAAATCGGGATAAAGATATCGAGTTAAAGGCAGAAGATTAGGAACTGGAACAACTTGAAAGCTACGCTGCATATTCTATAAAGTAAAGGAAAGTACTGACATATCACCAGAAGGTTATTTGAAGGATATGTCAGCTTCTGGCGAATGCATCCGAATAACTCGTACATCTGCTTTCCAACGAGCGTGTTTACACTGGTTTTTGAATACTTATTGGTTATTTCGCCATGGACAACGAGAACAGATCACTGTATGATATGAGAGACAAAAATTATCATAATAGATATTTGTCTGCAAAATGGAAAAAAATATTCTACATTACAAGTATTTTTTTATTCTGATGTTCATTTCACGCGCTTGGTCCAAACATTTTTTCAAATAACATTTCAAACTCCTGTGTCGTCTAGAAACTAAAGGATTAGCATGCTCTGTTTTTTCACCATATAACAACAGCAACTTCAGTAAAGGACTATCAAGGAAAAAATTCAACTTTGTCCGTGTTTGCTGAGTACGTACAGACTACCAAAATGTCAGAAAACATGCACGGAGTGTAACTATCTTGTTCTGAAAAGGATCTCGGAAGTACTCGATTGAACAAAATTTCCTCAGAACTCGAATTCACAGCATCCGTAGCCTAACATCGAACGTGATAAAGAGGTTGCACCATAACGAGACATATATTCACATCGAAACATGCGCTAATTAAAGCAAAACTCTGTCAACCGTATTAACACATCAAACACTTGTGTGTTTGCTATCTCGCCTGTTTTCAATATCCGAGGAAAACGATCTCCTGACACAGATGCATCAGTCAATTCTACCAACTAAGCATTTTCTTCAGTCTCTTTATATGCATATTTATTAGTAATAAACACCGTGCAAGCTCAACAAACACTATTTTAAAGGAATTCTAATGACCAGAATGTACATGAATGACGAGTTATAAAAGTGTGTCTTTAGCAGCATCGTGTTGAACCGTACTTTCTCTTCGACGTTCTGTCCTCGAACGAAGAACGTAGAGAATAAAGAAGAGACAAAAATGAAAGCTCTAATTGCTGGGAAAGATTGCGGGCCGTGTTGTCGCAAGTGTTGGACACTTTTGATGAGAGTACAGTCAGATCGTATGTACTGAGGAGATAAGAAAAACGTTTCACCTTTCATTTTCACGCACTGACGGAATATGAATCAATTTGAGCGCTCGAGAAATAGTACGATCATAATAGTTGAAAATGAAATCTGAGATGTAAGGTAAGTGAGGTCAATATTTGGTTATGTTGAAAACGCTCTAAAATTCATCTTAATTACCCATGAATCTTTGTAATAAGCATATAATATAAAAAAGTGGCTTTAACTACGCCTTAATGTAACTAGGAAATTGAAATATATCATAAGTTAGAGCCTAAATCAATTTTGATCCTCCAAGTAGAAGTAGTTTTTGCCGACCCCGTTGTACCAGCACAGTACTACTCTACATGCTTATCTACTGGTAACTGATCACTGAATAAACCAGCTCCAGCGGTGCGATATGTTTCTTTGAACTTGCACTGATTTGATGCGTAGCTACATAAAGACAAATATAACATCCTTGGTTCGAAATGTAACTTCGAGACGATGTACCAGCGGATGACAGTATAAAAGATCGGGCTACCCAGCCCCTTGATCCTCGAAAAATATTAGGACTTTTTAAAACATGAAAAATAAAGTTTGGGAATGACGTGAAGCTATTGATCTTCGTTTATGGCTCCACCGTTACTGGGCCGATGTCCAGAATTTATAAACCTCTTTGAAATTTCATCAAAATCCGACCAATATTACAATGCAGGAGCCAGATCCTTTTGCTGCATCCAAGGTATCATATATCCATATACTCCAATCTTTGATGCCGTTGTAGATTTTATCAATCGACACCAAGCCATTTGGTGGCACTCAGGCACGGCCCTAAAATTGTGTTGTGGCAAGTAGAGTTCTTCATTCTAGAACTACACTTTTTGTAAGAGCCTGAAGAACATTTAAAAAATTACATGCTCGCTGTCGCTCAGGGAACACTATAAATTAGGATGCATCATGTTAGTTGCGGACAGAAGCTGGGATTAGGGCCATCGATTTTTCATACATATTAGATATTGTTTTGGACGTTAGACATTTTCGCATTTACGTTGTGATGTGGCTCCAGAGCTGCTCCATGAATTCTCCCTTACTTGAAATATTCTTTTGTTACTCAAGTCCAACCATTTTTGTATATTTGTTATTGAGAGTAGCAGAAATCACAGATAATTTGTATACACCGTGATGAGTTGTTAACCCGTGTTGTCACAAGTTGTACTTGTGGTATTATTAATTTAAGATACTTGTTCATACAACAAATTTCCTCTGCAACACTCTGCTTGTCATGTAGTGACACATGTGCCAGGAATGGGGTGCAGTGGTGCGCTTGAAGCTTGTTAGAATGAAAAAGTACCTGAAGGGATGCTTCGCTTTGATAAGAAGCTCAGATAAGTGTTTCGCAAGCTCAGATTTATGTGATGGCACTGCCAGTGATAAATGAGCAAATTATAGTACTCTGTCCCTTTTGCATCTCCATAGAAGGTTAAAATTTATCTTATTTGTGGTTTTGTGCGTAGACTTCCAGGATTTGTAAATCAAGGCTGTTTGAGTTTCAAGTAGATTGTATAACAAAATTGAGTTTCATAATAATGATAAAGATCCCTTAAACTATTCTGATATCAGAGCATATATCATCACTATGGTGATCCATCATTCGTTTTTAAAACTGCTGCAATTTCAACATTTTTTCATACTTTCATTGTGCAATAAATGATACCTCTTTCTTCTTTCTACTTTTATGACAGCCTCCATAGTTTGCTGTCATACTTAATGGGAATAAAATGTTTGTAAAATACAGCATTTTCTTCAATCAAACTACCTTTTCCTCATTATAGATACTATGAACGTTGAAACCAAAGACGAGTACGGTCGCGTATACTATTTTAAGGGGCTGGTTGATTATGAAATTAAACATGGGCTCATCTTTTGCGTTGTATTGAAGACAAAGAGACAAACAAGTGTTCACCTATTTTTGTCACTGACAAAATACACCTTGATATGATGATGATGATGATGATTGGGTATCCACCACATTCCATCGAAGACTCATCATCGATATACGTATATGTTCTGTATTTCTACACATAGAATACAGAAAGTACCGCTACTATGAACACGCAGACGATCCACACCTATCGTACCATCTTAAAAACGAACCAACAAACGACATTCTCCTCAGATGCCACTTGAGTGGCTTCTTACGTGTAATAATTTTACCTGTATGCTAGTCCTCTTCACTTCGATGTAAAGCCAGTTATCCGTGGCAAAAGCTATGGCTAGAAGTGCAGTAGCTATAATGGCCGTAATGGTAGCCAGACTGAGAGTCACTGCAGAGCACGGCATTTTTCCGGGTACTTTGAACTAGAACGTCTTTGAGATCAGGTAGTCATGCTAGATGTCGTACCGTGTATGACCGGAAGTCGCCCGAAACGAAACGGATGGACGGGACAGGGTACTGCACAAGAAAAGCGACGACGCGGCGATGCTTCTTGGTATACAGTTGGGCTTGGAAAGTAGTTCTTCGGATACTGACTGATGGTACCGTGGGTTCCGCGAGGCGAAGGCTGCGCCGAACAGGTTCCACAGCGTGCCGCTTGCACGCTTTGACGCTAGGTGGTACATACCTGCGCTTAGGAGAGACAGAGACGGAATTAAGAAGGCAAGTGGTACCATTGGTATCACTGCTCATTGACGATGACATCCTCTTAACAAGTTCGTTATCCTAGTAACTGCATCAATTTTGTTGAAATTCAAAGAGATATTGTAGAGTCACAAAAGGTAATGCTGTCACGTTTCAATCAATACATTGCCGGGCTGCAGTTATTTAAAAAAAAAACAGGAAAGGTTATCAAAACGTTCCGTCCCAAACCTGATTCCTTAGGACACAATCAAAGAAAATCTTAGGAAAATATGTAATTAATTATTCTATCCACCTATTACAATCCACCATGTTTAAATTTCTTCGGCAGTACCTACATTTCGCTCATTTCACGCATTTCCATCGGTCTGTTTGTTGTTTGTCTCGCAATCCGTGTCCGCTGTACAACATGGAAAATTATGAAGTTATGTAACGAAAAATATTTCAGAACGCCCTCAAACTTGAGTTACTAGTAATTTTTTGGTTTCGAAGCATGTCAAGTTCAAATAGCCAAGTTCCAAAACGAAAGATAGGCCACTGCCACTGCTAGCTCGGTGTGTCTTTGAGTACGTCTGCGCGGATTTCACTGCACTCAAAGACAAACCGCATTAAGAGATGCGTATGATGCGTTATGGTATTCTCTTTCATTCTGCTAGTCGTCTATAGAGACTTTTTGCAGCAGGGGTGGACAACCCTTTATCTACACTATCTCGGAGAATAAATTATACGTATAATAATTTTTTTAAGGGGGGGGGGAGCTCACAAGGAAACGATCATCCACTCCCTATAGAGGCCCAGAACCTGCCTCGGAGGTACTAAAAAACAAAACAAGGAACCAAGTCAAAGAATGGGTAAGAAACCACCACAAGGAACATTGGACTGGATGTAAGCATGGTAAAGAATAATTCTCGGGACCATGTCCAAGCAAAACAGCGGAACTGCTCTCAATGAGTAGTAACCAACACCTTATAGTTACATGACTTCTAACATGACAAATGGTCTGAAAGAACACCTGAGCAAAGTACGGCTGTACGATGGAGACATTAGCTGCAGACAATGCGGAAAAGGACCAGTATCAGCCCTAAATGCTTATTTGAGTGCGAGGCGCAGGATCACAAAAGACATAAACTCTTCGGGAAACCAAAACTTGAACCGAGGGAGTTTAGAACAGTACCGACAAGGAAACTGTACCAACTGGTTCGGAACACTAGACTGCTGGACTGGGTACTGTAAACTCGAGGAGCAAGGCACGATAAGCCCTAGAGGCTGCAGTGCCATCTGGCACTTTGGTAGGATGGCTCCAGGAAAGTAAAAAAGGAGGTGTGAGGAGGGAGGACTAGAGGCGGGCCGAGCCGTCCGTGTTTTACGGCGTAGTTAAAAATTTGTTTAGGTGCTCAAATTCAGACATATTTCGTATTTTCAAGGTTCAGATATTACTATATACTAATGCTAGAACTTTTGGGTAGGCACATAAAATGTTAATTAGATTTACACAAATCGGAGGGAACTTCTTGACTCCACCTTTTTCGATATGCATAACTTCTTAACAGGAGATGCGTATATAAACCTGAGCCTATAAGTTAAAATAACAGTGGTACGGGATCGCAGGTTACCCCGCCAATAGTCTGTGATGTCATGGACAGCCAGGTGAACCTCAGATGCTTCGGGCAAGCGAATCGCGGTACCATAAACAAGAAGGCGCACAATTGAATGGAGGCGAAAATAGTTCCGTGCATTTCAAAGCACATGTGTTGTCCGCTACTGCAGCATTTTTCATATTATCCAGGTTGAATTTTTTATGTAATACTAGCCGGCAGCCGTTTAAACGTCATTTTACATCAATGTTATAAAACAACTCTGAAAACCAAGATGATTGGTGATTCTTATCCTGGAATTATGGGAATTTATCTATTTTGGGAAAATATCCTCAGATGGAGATATTTATTCGGATAAAAAAGAAGCGCGTACGTTCAGGTTTCGAGGAAGATGGAAATAATCTGAATGCCAGTTTCATTTGTTTAAATCCGTCTCTGTGTAACAGGCACGTAGGTAGAAAGTTTACACACAATTTAAAAATATTGATTCAGTAAACTGTACTTCATACCAGAGAACATTGTTGGTTGTCTAATTTGCAGAGTAGAACCAATCTGACTTACTTTTTGAATCTGGGTTACTTTGTTGGATTAGCTCTTGCTTTTGGGTGCATGATGGATGGTAACAGAATATATTATAGCGTATAAAAATTGAATTGATAGCCCCAGAAATGGAGTATCTCTAACACACAGTATTTATTATGTATGCATGCTTATTTTGGGTAAACACAAACACATGTGTCAACACAGTCCGATGTGCTTATAAAACAAATATGGTCTGTTTTGCGGACCCTAAGCTAAGTAACGTGTGAGTTCACGCTGGTCGGCAAAATTGTTTACAAAAGTTGAATAAACCATATCCTCACAAGTCGCTGAGGGTTCCGAATTCCCGACATCAGTTTTAGAAGTCCCAAACTGCGTTGTCCGTGTCTTTAGATCTGTTCGTTTGTAAGTATAAGAAGTGCAGCGCCATTTAATTTGCACAGCCGAGTACCTATACCTACTACATACCTACACCAAAGACCTATATCATAACAAAAATCGGAATAATTTGTCAAGCATATAAGCATATTCAATTGAAAAACATGAAAAAATGCGTCAAGTAGATTTACTCTGTATTTTCTACTCAGTTCTGTCATTAATTATTTCAACTATACGACGAATACATCCACCATATACATAAATAGGTACCTATTTGTCTTATTCTTTCTGTAAACTTCTCTACTGACGTAATAAATTCTGACTGACATGATTTTATGTGATGAACATCACGTCATATACCTAGGCACCATTCAAAAACATATCTTGTTTTCGACTTTTTTCGCAATTACAATACTTCCTTGCCAATTCACCTGAGAAGTAGCACATTTTAAAAGATAGTTGCCTTATATTTCCTAGAATCGTACAAGAGTATTCATAAGATACTTCAAAAAGAGTTTATGCATATAACCCTACTTTCCATTTAAAAGAAATGTTCCAAAATGGTACCACTCCGTAATTTTGTAGTTTTTAACTGTTACGTTTTCGCTAAAACGTAGTATCGTCTATTCGTGCATCAAATGCATCCTCGAATTTCAGCTTGCTAAGTTGGCTCGTTCAATAAATAATTAAGGGTGAGGGCTTTTTGCACTTTATTAATATAGGGTATTTTTTAAATAAGATTCCGATATTTCAAAGGATGAATTCTCAGCTGTTCAGGTAAAAAGTTCATATCATCATGGATCCCCAAAGTTTTCGCTCAAGATACAGCGGGTATAAAGCGGCCAGTCCCCGACAGGATTATCTCCAGAGATACGACTCATTTAAGAAATATAGGTACGTATCTACAATATACAAAATACGTATTTTTATTTTCTTTCTAAGATACTTTTAAACAATTGTATTTGTATTTTGTATTTAGATATATTCCGTGTGGTATCTTATTAGTAAATACTGTGTTTGCTAAAATACTTTTAGTAATATGTAGTTATCTAAACATTTCTTCACATAACCCGCCCTTGAGAAGCTTTAGTATGGGGCCATGGCCAAGGATATTTAAAGAACTTATCCTTACTGAAACACTGAAAACTAATCCATCTTATATAGGTATATATAAAAATCGGAGGTTTTAGAATATCTTGGAAGTGATATAAAAAGAAGTCAAAAAACGAATCTCATTACTTGTTTTTAAAGAACTGATTCATCTATTGCAAGTTGCGAAAACAGTGTAAACACAGGGTCCACTGGCAGCACCGCTAACTTAGAAACACTGCAATACCTGAATAATAAAGTTTAGAGAGCTTATAAATGCTTATCCTACAAAAAAATTTCAAGTAAAACGCATGTTCGCCAAATTCTGCCCATGTGGAGCGACTCTTGTCTTTCGGGGTATGATAAAAAGACCTCGTTGAAGAAAAATAGTGACAAAATTATTGAAAAACTGGTTCTACTTGTCTCGATTAAACCCTTAATCATATGATTTTTGTTACATTTACGCCATCAACTCGTAAATAATTCAGGTAATAAAATAAACTCCATAAAATGTTGTTCTCTGATAAAAGTATTTTATCTAAAAAGTATTTCAAAGATACGATTTTGTATCTAGCATTCACTGGAGCGATTTTGGAGAACTTCAAAGCTCTTTCCTTGGCGCAAGTAATCGTCTTTCCAAGTTTCATCAAAAGCCAATCGGTACTTTCCTAGTTATAGATGGGTCAAGGATTAATGGATAGACAGACAGACAGACAGACGGAAATGATAAGTGACATGGCATTTAGTATTATACATTTGCGAAATCTTTGAATATAATTCCTGGCCATTTGGCGTGGGAAGCAAAAAATCTTTGAAAGCTGCAGCACGGCTTAAATGTCAATTTTTTTTTAGAATCTCCCATAATCAGGAACTAGGAAAATGTATAAAGACAAGGTAAGAAAGCGTGCAGGAATGAATATTTTATTCATCACTCATAAAAATCTAAGACATAGTTTGAGTTATAGAGTTAGATTTGAATTATTTATCAGTAGGTATCACATTCACACTGTGAAACGGTAGTAGAAATCACCGCTCTCACCTCTACATTTTACTTCCATTTTCCCATCTCTGTCCTTGCTCTGTCAACATCACATCGTGGTACGTCGTACGTCAAAGCCCCTTCAAGCCTCATACAAGATGGATCGTCTGCAACTTCGATGACCATTCTTCAGTGAATAAAAATCGGGTAGTTATTTTCTAATTGTGTTCAATCCTTTTATCAATCAATATATTCAACAAATAACGGAAATGAGTGGAGAAGGGGGCGACGAGAACTGGCTGAACAGCTGGGAACAGCAGTGCTCGGACGCAATGGACGAACAGCCAAACTACGAACAGTCGTTGATAACCGAGTGCAGCAACTCTCAAACCAAAATATGGTCGTCTTTTCAAGAATCCGCCACAGCCGTGGCTCAGTTGTACAGGGGTGAGTGGTTGTGAGGGTAAATTTCCAGTTTTTGGGTTGATAGTGGGCGTTTTTCTTATTCCCGACATTTTGTTGACATCAGTGTAGGCTATCGATTCAGGTAGATCAGCTGTAATGCGTTTCAGACCTTTGGTATTACGTCGTTGGATTTGCCCCACACAAAGGGCTGAATAATGTAAAACGTAGTAGGGTGTAGACCCTTTCATAACACACCTGATTATATGGATTTTTATGTATATGACCATGAAATTGATTCACTATCTTAATTTGCAATTCATCTTTAATTTCTCTGTGATCCTTAATTTTTATTAATTCCCCCTTAATCTATGCTTAAAATATATTTAGTAAACACTCATATAATGTCCATCAGAAGACCATTGATATAAAAAACTAATGATAACTGTTAGAATCAAATTTATTGAATGGTTTTGTCTTGAAACCACTTTGTGAATTATTTCCTCAAACCCAAGAAGTCATTCTTAAGGGTATATAAAAAGGAGCCTAATCAAGTGATGCAAATAAGGTTGCTGGCTAACTTTGTTATTAAATGTTACTCTGCATAATTATATTTATGTAGTTATGAATTGTTAGAGTAAGGAGTTCAAAAAAAGTTGTAGGGATAAAAATATCTTGAAAGTGAGATGATCCTACATGGCCATTTTATTTTAATGGTAAACTTATTACAAAAAATCTTTGAAAATTGATGATTTCTACATTAAGTTTTTACTTTTTTACTAAAATATGCATAACATTAGATCTAAAATAATTGCACCATGGTACCCATGGGTGCTTAGGCCTTTGTAGTGGTTTAAGTATAAAAAAATATATCCAAAAGCCATTGTACTTAACATCCAAAGAAAATTTCATTTGAAAATACTTAACTATTTCTGAAATTTCCTAGGTGTTGCTATTTTGTTTGAATAAAATTGCCTTATATAATGAGTTAGTTGAACATGGTGTTAAAAGAGATATCAGATTTTTTAAACCAGACACGTAAAAAAGTATTGCTAAGGGTGCATTGTATCTCTTTTTGCCTTATAAACAGAATAAGAGCATTGTTTTTGACAGTCAAGATGCTCCCCACTGTAAAGCTGAAGAAAAATACAGACATTGATGAAAAAGGACTTTGTTGCACCTTTGAGGATTGAATGAACAATAAAAAGGGGAAGGAATGAGTGTCAAACAGTATTGAGAACTCATGTTTATTTATGAGTAGCAAGCAGTGCCATAACAAACAGCTATTCTGAATCTTAGCGCAAACCTGTCAATATTGTTAAATTTGGCACACTCAGTACCATGCCTTTATTTCTTGTAAATAAATTTGAATTACTCTAATAGCACTAAAATTGTTGGTGATTTTTTGAAATCACAGGAATGCATATATTACAATTCTTCTTCTACAGTATAACCTAGTTTCTAGCAAGAGAATGAGCTCAATGTTAGGCCATTTTATGTATCCAAAGTCGCTGGACAGAGCATCAAAAATAGCACTTTTCACAAAAAATTAGTAATTAGATATTTGCATTATTGAGTAATTTTTTGGGATGTTGAGCACCATAAAGACTTTCTTTTATTTCAGATTTGTCCTTATGCTTTTCCAGTAAAAAATAAATGTAAATATTGATGATTTTTGAGGGTTTTTGTAAAACTAATTTACTGTTACAGCAAATTGGCTATGTAAGGTCTTATTCTGAATGCATTCCCATCAATTTTTTTTGACCAGTTATCTTATATTTGACTACAAGTGACAAAGTAGTTTTTGCAACATGGATGTCTAATTAAAATGTTAGCCAGCTAAATCTTAGTGACCTTTTCATATACAATCATGAATATCATTTAGTTGTGCAATAGCTTATTATTGCTTGTCCTTTCCCATGTTTGTTTTTGCTACCAGTTCAGTCTCAAGATTTTCCTTAACAAATAAATGTTTTTAGGTTATAATCACTGAAAATCTACAATTGTTTTTATTATGGTCAATCATTTACTTTCCTGAGAAAAGCTATAAGTATATTTTATCTACCAACATTTATTGTAATGATTATTTGTCAATTGAAATCATATATATAAAAAAAATGTGAAATGTGCTGCTATGTATGAAACAAGCATATTTGCTTTATAGTAAATGTTTTGATACATACATACATAAAACAAATAATCCTAGATTATTAGCTTTCATATGAACATTGATCATGACATAAGTATTGGTTGCATTTCTGTTTCCTTTTAGATTTCAATATTTCTTAAAATCAGCCTTAATAACATTCTAGTTGCATTAAAACTTTATTCAGAAGAGGGGATAATTTAGGTTATGACTCTTTGATTCTTTTGAGTATGGAACTAAATATGAAGTGCACATCTACCTTTGCATCACAAATTTCGGGATAAAATGTGAAATAGATATTTTCTATGTAAGCTGGCAGTTATTGTTGGAGAACCACAACAAGAAAAAAACATTTCAGTCACTAGATACACATTTGTCAGTTACAACAAGTCATACATTGTTTTCTAAATATAAATACTGTCCACTCTTACTACTAAGCACAAATAGTGATCTATAAATATTTCAATAAGTATCAGTAGGATGCAGATATATTTGAAAATGCAAATTATTAAGACACTTTAGCATATCTATTCTAAAGGTCTTTACGAGAACAAAATGATTCTCTGCCCTTAAATCTTAAGAATGGTTTAGTTAAAAAATAATGGGCATACATTCAAAACAATTTTGGCTTATAAAATCTGTGGATACCATTAATATATTAGTTTTTTCTTCAATTTTTGTTTGCTATCGTTTTTATTGAACACTTTTTTTTAATTTGTGAACAGATTTCTGCTACCTATTACCATTGAAGTATTGATCAAAATTGTATTCAATATTCTAGATAGAGATATGGGAGACCCTGGGGCAATATGGTCACAGTTTCAAACAGCAGCTGGCACACTCACATCTATATATAGAGGTACGTGTATTCATTAAGTTTATAATAATTTATCACTTGTATTTTCTCATTACAGCATTTGAAATTGAAACATACTTGAATTTTGTTTTCCTTGTTCAGAATCATGTGAGAGCCTGAAGAGAACAAATGAATTAGCAAAACAAAGTGGTTATCAGAAAAGGAATTCAGAGCTATTCAACTGGGCTAAACGGAAAAGACGCTTGATAAGGAGAGAGGACCTTTTGGCTTACCTAGCTGGTAAACACCCACCACCACCCCCTAGACAGTCACACCATCATCATCCACACCATAGGTAAAACAATGAAATAGTTTTTAGGTCTACACAAGCAAAGTATTTTCTAGTTTATTTTTTTTCATGATGTAGATTTTTAGGATCCATCTCTAGATTGATTGCACATTCTTTGCATTAGGTTGAACTAATACATTAGGGTTCAAATTACATACACAAAATTGGTAAGATTTTACTCTGTATATGAACAGATTTTTAAATTCTGAAATAAATTGTAGTAGTAATAAAAAATAAATTGAGAATTGAGGTATTACGTTATTTGGATGATACTTGACATCTGCATATGAAAAACCTTATAACCAATAGGAAATATGCATGTTTTTTTTGGTTTTTTCTGTCGATAATAATACTAGATTAAAATAAGTACATCAAAATAAAATCTGATACAAGAATTACAGTAGTTTGATATAAAAAATTTCATATGATATTTGGTTCTTATTTTTATATTTAAAATAAAAAATCATACTTTGCCGCAAAATTTACAAACAAAACATTATTTATGTTGATAAACACATATTTCATTCAAGGACATCTCGATTATATTTATTTTTAAGGAAATGCTTGTGACTGCAATACCAATGAAGTTGATTTAAATGCCGCATTTTTGGCGCTTTGCAGTCTTTGGGGATTTGATTGAATTTTTTGGTTAGGTTACTGTCGAGAATTTGACATACCCTATTTCACGAGTATTCAACACGCTTTGACGTCTACTGAGGTGAACAGCTGATCAGCAAGTGATATTTTTGTGTTAGTCTGGGACGTTGACAATAATGAATGGAGTATAAATCTATTAAAACTTGTTTGTATCATTTTGTTTTGTGTATGCAAATGAACTTTTCTAAATAAAAGGGCTTTTAGCAAGTACAAAATGAATCTGTAGCGTACAAAAAACCAAAACAAAATATGACTTTGTCTACCTGGCATTGACGGCTCCGTCAGAATTATGTGTCCTTTGCCGATATGGGGAATTTTGAAATATTACTAGAAAATCATCTGTCGATTCTACCGTAATGGATGCTCGTGAAAAAGACTATGTGTGTCCTAGTTTTTCACTAGGATCTGATTATTTTGAATGTATACAGAAGCAATATTTTTTCTATCGTTTATACAGAGGCCAAAGGCATCATATGTAACAATTTGTGGTTTTCATGCTGATAGTCCTCAATGTTTGTCTGGCCACTAAATGAAACTACATATATGCTTGATATACTATTACTGATGATGATGTTTTGATCACCATGGTCGCCTTTTTCAAGTACAATTTCTGATTATATTATTTTATAAATTATCTTATCATTGACAATTCTGTGATCGAAACGTCGTCCTCAGTAAATTAATTTTTTCATTTAGCGGCCACATAAACATGGAGGAGTTTCAAATTTTATATAAATGCATAGATACGAGGGATGTCTTTTAAGTTTTGCATATGGAAATAGAACAACATGGTGGGTAGTTTTAAATGACTTAAATGACCCAAACAGCCGACTGTCGTTTATTTTCTGGTTCATAACAGTAAATCCACGATTCATCACCACTAACAATGCTCTACACATTTTTTGAGTTTCCGGAATTGAAACGGTCAAGCGTTTTTTGACATCAATTAACCCTAGCTGCTTTCTGCTCTTCAGTCAAGAGGTGGGGTATCCAACGAGAATTTTCTTACTCCTAATTCTTCATGTAAAATTTTTTGAATTGAGGTCTTTGAGATCTTCAAGGGCGCCTCAATCTCGCGATATGTCATATGTCTATCTTCAATGATGAGTTTGCGCACAGCATCGACGTTTTCCTGGGTGACTGTCGTTTTTGGTGCACCCACCCTGGAACCGTCGCTAAGACTCAACCGTTCACGTTTGAATTCTCCATACCAACGGTAAATTGTCGACTGATGTGGCGCTTCGTTGCCGAAAACAGACAGTAACTCAGCAAGGCATTCTTGTTGCGTTAATTGTTTCTGAAAGTTGTAATAAATTATGGCGCGAAAATGTTCTCGGTTGAGTTCCATTTTTCTAATGACTTGGTGATACTTAAAAATTCACTGTAGTGAGAACACTGCACGTATTCTTGTGAAACTTTGAATTTAAGTTTACTAAAGAGTGAGGTTAAGATTCAGTACTGACGTTCGATCCGCGCGGCCTACTATGTTTCTATATGCAAAACTTAAAAGATATCCCTCGTACTTGGAATATCGGACCACTTTATTGAAAATTCCCAGATAAAATATGAAATGATACAGTTTATGAAACATCTCAAATGTTCTTTTGTGTGTTAACAAAAAAATATCTTTTAAATATGTAAACAATATTTGAATATGTACTTAAATCATTATTACTTGAATTAATTTTTTGCATGATATAGCAAATTGATAACCGTTTGAGTCAAACCTTGTTGGTTTTTATATCAATTGAGTCAATAGTTTGATGTGGGTCTGGAAATTTTGATTTGTCGATTCGACGGAATTACCAGTAAGAAAAACAGTGACAACGAATTGTAATGTAACTTCTGAAATGTATTCTGTAGTTGTCTCGCTGATCCATCGCCATTTTCTAGCAGCTAAATAAAAGCACAGGTGTTGTAGATAGTTTACCGACATTCTAAATCTGAAGAGATGAAGAGATATTGTACAAAAAACATGGCAAATTTGCAAAATTCTTCTGGTATACTTGCTCATAGCTAACTTTTTTTCTCAGTGGGGCCAACTTGTGCCAAACATAATCCTTTATAAAATGATGACAGCATTGCGTAGAAATTGCTGAGTCAACCTACTTGACGGCATTTTTTTGTATTGGCATGAATAAATTATGATGTAATGTTGATGACATAGCTGAAATTTCACCAGCAATTCATTGTTTCTTACTGTTTATTTCTTCTCATCGACAAATGGGAAAAGTGCCTTCAATGAGATTTAACTATCCACCAGATTATCTCCCCGCCCTCGGACCCATTCACCCACAGCATCCGTCGTGGATCACCACCACCTCAACCACCACCATCACCAAGCCACTCCAGAGAATCTGTTGGAGTTCAGCCAAGCCCTGGTTGCATCTCCCCTTTGCGCGTTCATAGCCGGCGAAATAGCGCGGCACGGCAGCAAAAGACCTGCTAGTCCAGCACTGCATGATGTGCACATGGACAGTAGCCCGCAAGGGAACCAGAAGCGACCCAAGTACATGTGAGGTGGGTTTCAGACAGTTTGAATAATAGGCTAAGCGACCTATGGAGATGCTGCGATTTAGGCCCGTATCGTCAGTCGTCCCTACAATTGTAGGGCGCGTTTATGGCCTCCTTGATTGTCATACTCCTTTCCCTCCTTCAAAAATTTCTAGATTACACTTGTCCTGTATCAGCGTCAGCGCTCTCCTATTGTGAAGATATGTTTTCTTTTTAAATTGTAGGAAATTTCAGGCTGATAAAACATGATATAACTCAAAAGCAAGCACAATTTGATGCAAATAGATGTTTGTGACATAACCTCAAAATAGAGTTCTGATACGGAGAAGTAGAAAAATATGACAATCAAGGAGGCCATAAAGGCGCCCTACAATTGTAGGGTCGACTGACGATACGGGCCTTAGTGAAATAGCGTTAGCCCAGGATTCGGACATAATGATGGGAATTTGTTTCAAGTGTGATTTTCTAGGTTGCTGGTCTTGAGTTGTTGCACTTCAGGTAAATTTTATACAGAAAATGTTCATGCAAGGTTGAGAGTAAATTCGAAATAATATGTTCCACAAATTCTGTTATAGATATAGCTGTTCTTATTGTACAGGAGAGGTTTTGTGAAATATTTTGTGGGTGTTTCTTAAAACGTCGATTGAATTGATTCAAGATGTATTCCTATTCTCAAAGTCACTCAAGTTTTCAGGTTTCTAAGCGAATATGACGCTAACCGTTTTACAGAACAATACTCTCACAATAATAAGCTCTATTAGAATGTACTAGCTGAAAATTGTTTCTGAACTGATGAACTTAATAGCTCATACGCGTCTTTGATGCGTCATAGAAGGATACAGAAGGATTTTGTTAGAAACTAGAATTTCTGCTAGTTGATTTTAAACAGTGGAGGCTTGTATTGTTTCGCTGCCCTGCGAAATTATTAGCAAATTGCCTTCTAGATACCGTGTTACCATTGTAGCAGTGTCTAAAGGTATTTGCTTTTTTCTTTTTTCAGCCTATATTTAAATGAAATCACCTTGTGGTATCTTTACAACCTTGAATCACTGTTTTCTCGGAGTACTGGGCTATATCTAGAAAAGCAAATACGGAAAATTTAGAGGAAGGGGGAGCGGGGATATGAAACGGAACAATTTCTAAATAGTTTATTTGAATGTCTTAAGATGATGCTTATTTTACATTATAATTTTTATGACAGAAGTTTGAAGATCTTGTCTTATCTAAAGGACAAAACATAAAGTATTTTGGAAAAATTGTTTTGTTTTTGTAAAATACAAGTGAAGTATGCTTTTTTAAATTTTATTTCTTTGGTTTGTTAATCGTAGATATAGAATTTGTTCCGTATTTGTTTACTGCTTCCCCTTTTTGGTTTGGAGACATGGTAGAATTTTGTATTTATGGATCATTTTGGTGGCGTCCTTTAAAATTCTTCCACATGTCCTCTTTTGGAAGCTATTTCAAGCACCTCAAAATGCTTGGCCTAAAAATGATTATTATATACAGGGTGTTTTGGAAGGTCAGTTCCATCACATATTGCTTCAGGGACCATTCAAGCTGTGCATATTTTTGACATGGGGGATGCGGGGGTATTGATGGTGATTACGTCACACCTATACTCGTTATAAAAAATTAAGTTGGTTTACTGAATGGTTAGATTTTTCGATGCTTTGTGGTCTTTCGAACGAATTTAAAAAAATGTCACTGTAGTTTGAAATCATCAATCAAAAATCTTTCAATTCGGTTCTTTCTTACGGTATGCCATATGCAGCACAACATTTTTTTTCGTGATAACCCGAAATATTAGATCAGGCAGAATGTCATCGAAATTATAGAAAACAAAAATGGAATCCAAAATTTATGAAACCAAACACGTGATATTGATAAAATTATTTATTCATTCGATAACAAAATGCAAATTGTTATTTTTCACGCATGTTCAAGCCCTTGTTTCGTATTCCTGTAGCAGTAGTCAGCTTACTAAGACTGACTCCGATACGCAGTACCATATAGCTTTTCTGAAGACTCATTGGAAACATATGGCTGCTCAAAATATTGCAATGAAATATTAAATATAATTCACCGAAATATAATTAACATTTTCAAGAACACTAAAAAAAACTTCAGAATGAACACTTCACACAGGAAAAGTAAGTAATAAAGGACTAGTCATCATGATTATTTCTAATATATGTTCGTGCCGGTCGTACTTCTATCGTCGCTAGAGCATTACTGCTTGATATTTTTATGTGTGAATCTAGACAGGCAGTTGATTTGCAAAACTTATCAACCATTTAAGAAAATGGACACCGTGGTCCTTATAACCTACTATCACAATATCCAATAACAGGCTATCAGCGAGGGTATTGTCGTCAGTAATATCTTGCGGGAGAAAAACTCCATTCTTAGCTACCTCATGCTTCGCCACGTAGAATCTCAGATGACAAAACTAGAGGTCAAATGCAAGAACTACAACATCTTTGCGAAAGGCTTGGACGTCGCCAAACAACAGGCGAAAGAAATATTACCATGGATTACGTTCGTGGTAAACCTTCTATAGTGCTTACAACCATCCAGAAGGCCACATCTTCAAAAAAATGATAAAGTCTATGGCGGAGTGGATGATTTTTTATACTAATATACTATATCTCTGGTCTAAACTACTTGAACTCCCAGCATGATAACAAACTATCGTCGTTTGTCTCACTGAGACATCGCTGCATTGCAACGTGCATGGCCCTTCCATCAACCTGCCTGGATACTATCTATACAGAACGGATTCATCTCGCACGTCAGGTTTTGGTGGAGTATGCATTATGTTCGTACAGAAGTGGTGTCAGCTTTCTCGGTATCTCCCTCTTTCTGTCTCTGGATCGTAAACTATTTTTGGAACTCAGTTTCCCAAATTTCAGCTTCACAATAGGCTGTATTTCCATGTCCCTGCTTAGGAAACATGCATCTGTGTAGTCTCATCTTAGATCTTTTAAATAGAAATACTAATTTTTTCATAGCTGGCGATTTCAATCTACCCGACATTAACTGGTCTATATCAACCATACTTGTTGCGCATCACAAATCACAACTATATCTTAACTTGTTTACCGCTCAACGAGGTTCAGGGAACGACAGAAACCTAGTGGCTCTGAATTTGATATTCGTCAACGACACCGATTTTGTTTCTAATTCGGATTGTTTGCCACCTTTTGGCAAGTCTACACACTTTTATTTTCACGGCAGCTCAATAGAACCAAACGTCCTAACATCAAAATGTTCAAAAGCATCAAAGTTGTTGAGAAAGGATCTGACGTCAACACTTGTGCCTTCGTTTACGTTTGTAACGGAACGAAAAACCGTAAGAAATAACAATTTGTATTTTGTTATCGAATAAATAAATATTTTTGTCACTGTCAAGTGCTTTGTTTCACAAAAAATGTATTTTGTATTTTGTAATCTCGATGGGTTATCGAGGAAAAAAACATGGCTATATCGCTTTGTATGACATCCTATAATAAAGAGCAGATGCGGAGGAAGTTTTTTCATTTGAATTACAGTGTTGCCAAATTTCCACATACATTCGTTGACAAATGACAAAACTAAGAGAACAAAAAGGTGGTTCTTCGTTATTGTACAAGCGATTGTGTATCGATTGATTTTGGCTTCTTTCTAGTATTTCATAATATTGTGCATAGCTTGATAACGGTTCAACTTTGTACTTTCCGTATATGTGTCTCAATGCGTTCCAAATGGGGTATATTATCACCTCTTGAAAGGATGGTGTCGAGCTCCAGAACACCCTGTATTTACATATGTGGGGTACAGGTAACTTATTGCTGCAGTATATCATTATCTTTTATATTAAAGTTTTCATAACACATAGGCTGTAAAAGGGCAGAGAAAATATTTATTGTCTTGCTTCTTCCAAACCTAATAGAGGCCAAGAAAATATATTTTAAAATAGTAAGTGCTGTGATAAACACACATACTTCCATATTTATAAAATGTTGGAGAGTGTTTTTTTTTCATTTCTAAGCATAAAATATTGTTAATTTATTTGTATTTGTATTATATATTCATTTAGTAATGTTTTGGTGGGTTTTATGCAGTGAAATAGAAAATTGATGCGGATATAATATATATATATAACGACTTGATAAACTGATGCAATTAGTTCCTGATCTATCCAGATATTGAAACATGTTCACTCTACTACATACTCTTATCTAAAAATTCCATAAGGCCCAGATCAAAGCCTATTTTCATTAACGTTTGGTAATACGCCCGGTTTTCTTTCCAACAAAATAGGTAACTTATTTTATTGTATATATAAACCAAGCAATAACTGCTTATGTGCCATGAACATCTTTAATGAAAAAAAAAAAAAACAAGAAACATGTGTTATACATTTAGTATATACATATTTTGCTATTTTTTCAAATGTTAGAATTTTTACTATGAGTGGTATGCAGTGGATATGTGGAACCCAATGTACTGTTGGAAAAATGCTAGTCCTCTGAAAGTTACATAGTAGCTCTCCACAACGCCGTACTATATCTATACATATTGCATATTTTTGTCATATTGCTATAATTTTGTATTACTTATATTTTTGTAGGTTGTGATTTTTGTTATCTTTTGATTTTAGACTTATTGAAGTGCCCTTATTTTCTTTCTGGTAAAATACCTGTAAATAAATGTATATTTGTAGTTTAGCTCTGTATATACTTTTACGATACATAAATACAAAAATGCATAGCATTTTTCCAACATTCATTATAACTGTACAGTGATGAGAATGTTAGTTGTTTGCTCTTAGTAAACACCTTCGATGGAACCATTTCAACTTGCTTGTAACGATATTGTAAAAAAATGATTTGAGTAACTATAAACACGTTTGTACACTTTACAAGTCGTATACGTACCATACGCAATAAAATTTATATTTAGAGGGATATATATGGTACCTATATTTTCAATGTCATATTCATGAGCTTACGTATTATTGTGACATATTCAGTTATACGAAATTTTCTGCTAAGAAGAAAAATAATTGAAGTTCAGAAATACGCTGTTCATACTAGATAAAATATAGTCCAGATACCATAACACTTCAAAGTTTTAAATAGAGAAAGGTATTAAATTAAGGTTGTGTATCGGTAGTAGGACAAATATATTTAATGTAGGGCTTTTTGGTATAATTTTGCCCTGACGTCTTAACCAAAAAACAGTTCTTGGAAATGGCAAGCTTAGTCAGGTTACTATGAAGATGTATTGAGGGCCAAATGTAGTAAAAGTCTATGCCAAAATCATTTCAGGGGGTCAAAACAAACCAACTATAGTCTTCTATATGCATGCAATTTTAGCAAACATCTATGTAGTCTATCCATATTAGCACATTTCCCCAAAATAATTGTAAAGTATGGTTTTATCAATGCAAGTTGTTCAAGGGAGTATTTAAAGCATGGACGCCTAAAATGGGAACACCAATTTTTGTGGGAAAACTTTTTATTCGACAACAAAGAATGAGAAAACGTGTTTTTGGGATTCAATCGAAAGTGTTGGCATTAACGAAAAAACTCTTCATATAAGATTTTTAGGTATTTATGAGACCTACAGAACTTCGCTTAAAAATAACAATTATCTTTCGAAATGGCTTGTGATTCATGTCGGCAAGGTAAACTAGGGGAATTTTGCTATAACATACCCTTTGAATGAATCCTGTATATTGCTCAATAAACTATTAGTGATGGCCGGAAGACAGGTGTTTTGGGGTAAGCAATTAGAAATTCTCAAAAACTACCTGACCAATCGGTATTGGTGTACCCATTTTATACGTCCATGTTTTAAATGCCCCCTTGAACAACTTGCTTTAATAAAACCAGACTTTACAATTATTTAGCAAACCAGCGGTATTTTCATCTAATATGATTGGACTAATGGTTATTTGAGAGAAACATGTGTAACCATTGATTAACGTATTTAAGTGGTGCACTGAATATGGCTCTGGTCAGTCTGGCCCAATCCTTCCTATCTGATGTTGACGTCTACTGCACCTCGAAAATTGATTTGGTGTAGGGTAACCAATCATCTCAAGTATGTTTGAGCAGCAATACACCTTACTACGTCCAACAAGTATATTTTTGGTGATATTATATCTCGAGAAATCACTTCGCGATCGAATTTCGTACGCCGTTGCGAATGACACCACTCGGTGACGACTATTCCGCCTGTCGACAAGAAATTTATTGTAATAGAGTGTTTTTTTTTCAGTATTTGGAATATTTGATCAATACCTTCTTTTTATGATATCGATTTTACATGATTATCTTGGAAATATAGAATGTTTCATCTATATTTTGATGTCTCTGCCAATAGAATATAATGAAGTACCTACATCATTTTATCAAATATCTTCAACACTTCTTTTGTGCGACTATCATTTTCCAGATAATATTTCGAACATATCCTTGCAGTTTTGTCATTAAATTTTTGTTGCTAATAACACTTCAGAACCCATTGTTTGCAAAAATGTGTGTTCCTTGGAAAACTCGAACAACGCCAATTCTCTGCTTTTCTTGTGTTTGTTGCTTGAACAGTCTGCCACGTCACAGGATACCATACTTAAAATGAATTTACTGTTTCTTATTAGATTTCAAACGCACCACATAACAAACGGAATTAATGACACATTACATACGAATATAAAACTGAACGTTTGTCAGCCATTTCTTGGAAATTTTGTCACCGAGTGAGGTCATGTGTGCGAAAGAGATGGATTGATCGTTTGCGCATGTGTTTACCTTCTCGAGTAATAGTATCATGGATTGCTGATTGCAAGCCAGCCTAGCCTAATCGAAGCTTGATAATAAACAGCATTTGAACTGTTTTTTTCAGGGTATGGGATTTGGGTCCCATTATCATAACTTTATATCCATACATTACTTTAAAAACAGTATATACTTTGAAATAACTGTGATATGGTATATAATGAACTATTTCTGTCTCAAGCTTAAAGCATACATCGCATTCAGTGTTTGAAAAGTCACCCGTATTTACCGGAAAAGTACAAAAGTTACTTTACGAACTGGTGCATTAATTCTGGGTAGGTACCATACGCTAAAATTAAATATCAAAATATAAAGTGGTTATCAGTACACTCATCATTTTTTCAGCTAGGCTCATGAAATTTTCTGGTGAGTGATACTTCTCAAGGGGATAGCATATTGTAGTGATAAAGCTGACAAAATCCACAGTCACAATAATGTTTTAGTTTAACTTGGGATTTGTGGTTTTATGATCTACTGCATCGTCACTGATGATCAATATTAGTGACTAACATCCTATAACAGGTATCAAACCTTATGTTATGAACTAAAATCTGCAGTATATCCAGCGAGATCCTCCGGAATCCTGTTGATAAATTTGCAGATCATTTAAGTTCTTATTTATTTTTATAGGCATACTCAGAGGCACCTAATAATTATTATATTTTCGGCTACCATTGATAATCTAGCACATTTTGACTTCCTGAAATGGATTTTAGAGATTATGAAGTACTGTGCATTTCAGGAAGCATACTTGTTCATCATCAATTTGTTTGTATATTATTTAGTTTTGTTGAAATCTTGTTGGTATCATTCAGGAATTTCTACCCCGCATACCAAAGAACAACCGGCAAAGCATTTTAAATAACTTGTATCGCGGGTAATGTTTTAAAAAATATTGTATAGTTTATAAAACTTGCCTTTCACTGAATCATTGCTTAGGTATAAAAATATTGTGAAAACTGTAAATTGTACACAATGAATTTTTGAACTGTATATATATTTTGTACTTTGTATCTACGTAGATATCACTTCTGTTCGGATGTAAACTGCTGGACAATAATAGATTATGTTTTAACTAAGCCACATTATTATCTATACCAGCTAATATTGACTTATTGTAGCCACGTTATTCTCTATATCACCCAATTTTCAGTCATTGAAAGGCAACATAAACTGGAGAATAAAATATTGAATTTGCAGAGTGAAATTAATATAGGTATAAAAAATACAAAATGTAATTAAACGTAAAAATCAGAAAAAGGAACTCATGTTAGTTGTCAGCATGCAGTTTACATTTGCATTGAAGTACATGTAAAGAACCATTGTACTTTATGTATGCTAATATTGCTAACCATTGTTTTGTACATAAAATCATTTTTTTGCGTTTTCATCAAATGTAAATGTAAGTTATTTAAGCGCTAAACTGAATCGTTCGTGTAAGATTCAAAAATAAATCACGTGATTTTAATTTTATGTTTTGAATTGTTAGACATAATACATATTATTGAAATTAGTTGTTGATTTATTACCTGTATATCTTGTGGTAGCGCTGCGCTGGTGCGATAATTCTTATGGCAAGGTGCCGGTGATATAACTATAGTAATAAAAACTATGGTTAGGTCTTTATCACGTCCAGATTTTCTGCTGTTTCTACTACAAAGGTACCATAATCATTTATGATGGCCATTTCGTGGTACATAGGGAACCCGGACAACTGTAGGTAGTTTACATGCGATCAAATCGTCAAAGGATGGCCTGGGCAAATATAAAAAAAAACTATGTGGCTTCAAACAATAGAACATTCAAATTTTCATATGTGAAGAATTTGTTTTATGAAGCTGTCAACAGAGTGACGGCAAACCATTGGAAATATTGCATCCGTCACGTTCAAGAGACAATCGAAACAAAGATGTGGGTACTGGACAACATGATCGATATTTAAATTGAACCTGTAATAATTAATATTAACCATTAGGTCGATGATTCAAGTACTTCCAGCTAATAAAGAATTGTGAAAAGTATGTGCACTTCTATAAAAATAATCATTTATTTTGTTGGATTATTCCAAGACATTGAGGAAAATACGGACCTGTACAATCTCGCTTTTGGGCACATTGTGTTTTGTGAACGTTTGTTCGATAAGCTCAAAGACATTCGTTTTTTAGTTGTATGTTCCGTCTCGAAAACTTTGTCGTTATGTATTAGTGCCCTTTAATCATATTTGTCAGAGTGACAACTTACTTGACATCGGTGTGCAACTTAAGTTATCCTGTTATCAATCTTCAATATAAGATTGTACAATGCCCGGAAATACGATCAATGGAGAAGGCCGACAGCTCGTGCTAAACTAGAATATTTCCAGGAAGAGAATGAAAACAGCCGTCCTCTGTTACCCACTTCATGCGTGCTGGTTACTGGACAGAGTAGCAGATGCGCTGAAGATTAGTCTGCGCAGTGTTCAACGAATAAAATCCGAAAATAAGAAATGTTTGCCAATAGTAACACCTGAGGAAATTCGCAAAATTAAAAAATGAAGGACCGATGATGTAAGTGATGCCGTTAAAACAGAAATTAGGAATACTTTTTACGATATAAGAAGTAAAGGACAACCTACCACGACCTATGCGCTCAATCAGGAGCTTAAAAAAAAGGTATATACGCCTCGGATTCAAGCTTAAGGCGTCTATTGAAAGCTTGCGATTTTTTCTACAATATAACCGCCGACTCTTGTGTGAAAAATCAGACATTGTTTTCAAACGTATCTATTTCATGAGACATTATATGAATAACATGCTTAGTACAAGCCCTCTCCAATACGGTTTCTTAGATTTGGCAAGATAAAAACGTAAAGAGTTTGAAAAGCGGCCATCAGGGTACCGGCAAGCGGTATGTTGTTCTCCATGCTGGGACCAAAAACGGTTTTTTAGAGATTTGCATTGTTATTTGCTAAAATCAAATCAAAAAGTGAAATGCTGACTAAAAAAATGGGTATGTGAGTAGCTGACATCAGCGTTACACGAGCCATCTTTAGGAAAATTGAAGTAATGGCCGCAAGAGAGAAAGATACATTTAGATGATGGCGCTTTTAAACTCGAGCTTTTAAATCTACATATGTCGCCTTAATAAACCATCGGCTCCAAAATATAGACGAAATAATACAAAAAATGGACATCAAGTTTTTGTGGCTCCCTCCTGACCATTGTCAATACAACCCTATTGAGTTAGTCTGGGGGCCAAACAGTACTATGATCGTCATATTGGGGAAAATGGCTATGGTGACAAGGAAGTTTTGAAAGTTTGGGACGATGCTCTAGCGAAAGTGATTCCTACAGTTTGGGCCAAGTGTGTAAAACATACCCAGAACTTCATTAAAAAATCATTTACTTGGGGGAAAGTTCAGATGATTTTGATGAAGAAATCCAATAATTCATACTTTTATTGGAACAATTTTGAAAATTTAGAATTCTTAATTTTCTATGCATTAACCTTAATGTAGATTGTTAAATATTTTGACAGATATGGAAGTTGCAAGCTTGATGTTTATTACGGCGACATAGATTTGAAAGCATCATCAAAATGTATTTTTTGTCTAGCAGTAATTCATTTAGTCGCATTTCAACAAAGGAAGAATGAGCATTTTTATTATTGAAGATGGTTCTTCTAAAGCTCTCATAAGCTTGTCACATATCGACATCCAATGTTAAATGTTCCATCAAGTTAGCAAATAGATGTGTTATTTTGTGTATGTTTTAAACTCCGTATGTATGTTTTATTCAACTTGAAAAAACATAAAATGGCGTGTCATACACTACTCATGCTCTATGTACTAGATTAGATTTTTGAGAATTACTATTAGTAAATAATTTTGAATCGGTTTCCCTCAGTTAGGAAAATTAAGATCCGCCCATGGTACGGAGACTCGATCTGTTTACTTATTTCATATGGCGTTAATGACGTAGCCGCCAAGAACGGTGACTACAACTATATAAAGATCCAGTAAACCAGGAGGCGTCGCAGTGGAAGGAAGGAATAACGATTACAGGACGGAGGTTCGAATCCACAAAGCTCCTTTCAATTAAATCTCAAAAAACACGTTTTCCCATTCTTTGTTATCAAATAAAAACTTGTCCGATAAAAATTGGTGGACATTTTATGCGACCAACTTTAAATAAACAACTTGCATCAATAAAACGAGACTAAAATTATTGATTATATGATTAAACTATAATCTATTGAAGTATAGTCATGAACACGCTCATGCCGTTCGAAGGGTTGTCAGTATTTTTGGTATTAAACACCTCAGGAGCAAGTCATCATCATTACGCGAAGGATCTTGGTAGAAACGACAGTTATTTACCATCGCCTCTTATCGTTTCTCCTATATCCTGATATATTCGTGGTAAGATGCTATAAAATATCTTCGTAAATCTGGCAACATTCCGCATACCCACAGAAAGCCACCGATCCAATTCACTTTTTCTTGATCTCGAGATCACGTTTTTCGTAGACGAGGATCATTTCGTGCGTGAAAAAGCTCAAATTTCACGGTCTTAGTTTATTATTGTTTTGCTGTTGACAGTAGTATGATACTGTCTTTCGCGGCGGCTGCACCCGTAATATCACTTTCATTCACGATTTTAAATATTTCACTTATTCTTTGCCGGTCTGTCGTGTATGTCGGGATATCTTTGTGTACCTAGGGACTGTGAATGTGGAGTGAAGATCGATAGTTAAAAAGTATTAAATTAGTCCTTGATTTGTGTGAGTGTATGTGGTTCTGGTTGAATATAATTTCAAGAAAATTATTGCATTCCAACCCTTTAATTGGTGGAGCAAGTTCGCAAACACTTCAGACCACATTTTACACCTTTCACAGTGATTTGAACTTTTATGGAGTCTTATCATTGAACTACAAGAATTATCAATTTCCGGTTGGAACCTAGCCAAACTTATGTTGACGTAGAGGTTTGATACACAAGTGCACCAAACACCTTTAGGGTACTACTAACTTGGTATCTCGTGTATGATCGTAGTGAGCGTGATTCGAACATTAGATGCAGGTTCCAATCACGCATCATATTAGAGGTCGAAAGAAGAAATGTTCCATGCGACAACACTTCAGACTCGTAGAAATTTAACAAATGAATCGCAGCATAATTCAGAATTGCTGAGACCAATCTGAACAGTATTTATGTAGATTATTCACTTTCCCTTTGTTAAAAAAGCTATTCGTAGCTTTTCTTTGGTTTCCACGCAGCCATATCATAGCTGTTTTGATTATTAATGATCTCTAGGCATGGAAGACACAACTGCAGTTAATAAATACGTATTTGGTAACGATCACATCAATTTTGGGACGTGTGATGCTGCTGGTTTCAATTTCCCCTTTTCAGAAATACCAACAAAAATGTGATGCTTATAACAGCGGCCAAGTAATACAAGTTATGGAGTTAATTTTTGCATCTCCTAAAAATTACAAATTGGATGTAATTTAAGCATTTCATAAGCAGCATTTTCGTGATATTTAATTCCCCCTCCCTTCGCTTGTTAACGTAAGTAATCAAAGCTTCCTCCCTATGCTTACGTAGTCATTGATGTATGTTATGTATACATCTGTTCAGGTTTATTTTCTGTTACTCATGTGAATTTACTGCAATTTAATATCCAAGAACAATACTAACACATTTAAACATAATATTTGAATGTTTTTACCATATTATAACGATATTATTTATCTTTTATATTAAAATACAGGGTGGCCAATATATAACTGACTGATTTAAATTGTGCGCCATTTTTTATACACGCATTTCAGTAGGTGGCGCCGTAGTAGTTGTTTAAGGCACATGTGTCCAAGTCATCATCGAGCGCTTCACGATCCCACAATGCATCCGGATCGTTGAGACGTTCGTACACCGGAAAATATCGAGAGAGTGCGTGAAAGTGTATTGGAGCGCCCTGAGACGTCTACTAGACATTGTACTCAAGAACTGGGTATTTGTCGCACGTCATTATGCACTATTTTAAAAAAAGACTTGCATTTGCGCTCATACAAAATTCAGTTAACCCAAGAACTACAGACTAGTGACCATGAAAGTCGCCGACAATACAGACATACAATATTGCAGATTAATACCCAAAATAACGATTTTTACCGAGAACTGATAAAGAGCGATGAAGCCCAGTTCGATATGAACGGATTTGTTAATAAGCAGAATTGTCATATATGAGCATTAGAGAACGCTCGTGTCATCCATCAACGACCACTACATTATCGTCGAGTCACAGTTTGGTACGGTGTTTGGTATAAAGGTGTCATTGGACCTAACTTCTTTGAAGACGCTGGGTCCTCAAATCTAACAACTTAACCTTCAAAACGTGGTTCGAGCAGGTCGGAGCAACTTGTTACACAGCTAGGAAAACAATGAATCTCTTGCGAACAATATTTTCAGGACGTTTTATTTATCGACTTGGACATCAAGGTTACCGGATTTAACGGCTCATGACTC